ATGCAATTAATTCTTCCTTTAATAATTTCAACAATTTGTAAATATCATATCGTTAATTGTGTTATCGTTAATAATACTTCCCTTTTTTGTTAATAATGAACCTTTAATAGACGCGTCGTGGTAAAATAAATTTAATTTATTCGTTATTCAAAAAATATTCGAATAAAGGAATATCATATATATTTTTAAGGATATAGGTAAATATAATAAATCAAAATTATAAATCACGTTTTTCAATCGCATTAGTAACGCAAAATAACAAATAAAACTCCGATGAAATAACTAATAACGAATAACCGGTATATAATAAACAACTAGAATAATGAATAACTCGAATAATAAATAAATATCAGACCAATGATTAATTATTTATCCGCAACGTTTGTTCAAACGCAATTTCATTCGAATAATGGCGCACAATGCCGCGCAACCTGCAGAAAATTGAAGTCACTCGGTCTCCGGAAAAGGCAATTTCCAGAAGACAAAAGCAACTGGTTCGTTCCGCGAGCGTAGAATCGAAGGAAAAAAAACCGCACAGCCGAGGGAAACAAAGGCGCCCTTATCGGTCAGCCGTGATCTCGACGGACGCGGCTCGAGGCGGATTTAGTTGGCTCGCGCCTAAAACAGCCGAACTATTGCGAAATCGCCGCGGGCCCGCCTAATTATTGTGCAAGCGTAATTGCGAGGAGTTGCGAGAACGCGTGTCGCTCGCCTTGGGAATATTTTAGCGCCCCGAATTTCGCGCGGGGCTTTTCTGCCGTCTTAATGAACCGTCGCTGGCCGGAGAGCGAGCGGGAGACACGACAATTGCCCGCGATTTTCTGCGGTCGAAAACCGCAGACGATCGTTCGTGCCGGCGCCATTTTGGAGAACCGCGTGCTGCCGCCGGCCGGGATTTTGTAACTCGTCGCGGAGATTTTCTTCCGGCGCGGCGGCTGAAACGAAAGTTGAGTTTCATCCTGCAGGCGTCAACCTTTCCATAATTTCGTAATAAATTCGAGATGTCCCTCGACCGTTTTCTCGTCGGAGAAGCAGATTCTTTCTTTCTCGCTTTCTACGAAAGAGATTTACGCCCGAGCGTCTTCCCGCTCCATGCGGAACCGAACCACGGTGTGTCGCGTCTTAAGAATCATTGGCAGATCAAGAAGTTAATTTTTGATGATTTTTGGTATTTTTTGTAACTTTTTTGGCAATTCTGAGTAATTTTTGGTGATTTATTAATTTTGGTAATTTTGATAATCCAAGCTGACGAACATTTTAGTGGGTTAGAATCACAGCATAAATTTATCATTGTGACAGACAAGGAAAGTTATTGTTCACTACCATGCGAGTTAAGTGAATTTATGCTAACTGTATGATTTATTTCACTTCGCGATACAAGATTTCGTGAATTAAACATTACGAATCATGTATTTGAATCAAACATTTCGAATTCGGTATCCGGATTTAGACATTTCGAATACGGTATTCGAATTTAAACATTTCGAATTCGGTGTTCGAATTTAATCATTTCGAATTCGGTATTTGAACTTAAACATTTCGAATTCAGTATACGGATTTAGACATTTCGAATTCGGTATTCGAATTTAAATATTTCGAATTCAGTATTTGAATTTAAACATTTCGAATTCAGTATACGAATTTAGGCATTTTGAATTCAGTATTCGAATTTAAACATTTCGAATTAAGTATTCGAATTCAAACGTTTCGAATACGGTATTCGAATTTATACATATCGAATTAAGAATTCGAATTAAAACATATCGAACTAAGTATTCGGATTTCACAGATTACGGGACACGCGGCGCGACGTTTCGAAATCCGACTGGATTTCTACTTTTCCGTCGACCTGGAAGAATCTCGGTTGTACCACTTTTGATCGACCAGCCGATTCGAAAAATCCGAGACCACCGAACTATCGTTGCCCCGAGAGTTACTGGAACGCCTCGGGCGAATAGTTTATTCGTCGATACGGTCAGCGTACAGCCAAGCCTAAAAGCGGGATCGTAAAATAGAGAAAGTGCTCAATTTTGTAATGCCTATCGTGTTCACTTTCATCGTTCCGCCGTTATTATTATTTGCTTTCGAAAAGGAAATTGCGTTTTTACGCGGCAAAAGGCGGGACACCGAGCATTGTCCTGCGATATGACTTTCCTTCTTAATAATAAACCGGCTCCGTTGTCGTAGGTGGCCACGCGTTCCCGACCAGTGAGCATCGATCGCTTCGCTTCTCCGCCGACTTCTGCCCACCGTTAATTCCATTTAACCATCGATATTAATAGTTCCGATGTTCCGATTGCATTCGGACATCCTCCTTGACGTTCCATTCTGCGTTTTATCTATTACGAAACCGTTTTCGTTCGAGCTGCCGGTGTAAATCGCGTTCTTGCTTAACTATCTTCGCGATTTTTTTGCGGAGAAACTACAACACCTTTTGTAGTCACATTTACTAGGTTTGTTTGCGCATGTTTCGGTGATGTTCAAACATTTTTTGGTTTATGGAAAAAGCTCAAATTAAAAAGTTAAAGACGTAAATAGTGTTCTGCTATTATTTTTATTATTACTGCTTTTTATTTCTATTATTTCTTATTTGTACTATTACTGTTCTCTCTCTGTATTATTATTGTTTCTTGTTTGTATTATTACTGCTTTTATTCGTATTATTCTTATTTCTTATTCGTATTATTACTGTTCTTTATTCGTATTATTATTGTTTCTTATTTGTATTATTCCTGTTCTTTATTCGTATTATTATTGTTTCTTATTTGTATTATTATCATTGTCTCTTACTTTTATTATCACCGTTTTTTATTCGTATTACTATTGTTTCTTATTTTCATTATTATTCTCTCTGACTAATATTATTATTATTGCTTGTTATTTCTATCGTCACGATTAACACGCGTTCATGGAGAACGAGTTACCTCGTTCGCATTCGATTCCATGGATGACTCTGGCAATTCGTTTATCGATGAGAAAATTTCATCTGAAATTGACTGATCGACGAACGTCACGAGACGACGGCCGCGGTTTCACGGGATCTTGTTTTTTTGATCGCCAGGTGAGCAACAAGGGGCTGAAGATCATACAGACGGTTCACCTGGGAGGCTCGACGAGGTCAGCTGTAAAACATTTAGTGCCAGGACACGCGGTGCTGGCCGCTGTGCAAAGAGAGGACGTTGTTGCAGCGACTCTTCTGCTTCCGAACCCGGCTACCAACAATCCTGTCCACGTGCACGCTTACAGGTCACTATGAACACTATTAATCATCCTCGCGTCTGAGACGTTAAGATCTTGATCGGTCGCGGACAAGCGAGCAACGTCGTTATCGTTGTTATTTATTTACCGAGTACTTGACTCCTTCGAGTCGCACAAACGAAGTGCAGATAACCCGAAAAAAATGAACACTGCAGGGTGCAACCCTTTGCGCTCGTACGGCGACTGAAAAGCGTCGCTAAAAATTGGTATGTCGTTTCACAAAATGATTGTTGCGGTATTAAATTTTAAGAAGGCAGAAATGTTATCATTTTTATTATTTGTTTACACGCTGCTGGACTCTTTTGAATCGTGCGAATGAAATGCACATAATCCGGGAAAAATGAAATGAAAATTACAAAGTGCAAGATGTGATCTTTTGCACTGTAATGCATCGGTAAAAATTAGTATACCGTGTCGCAAAATAATTGCTGCATTATTAAATTTTAACAAGCAAGCAATGTTGTCATTACTATGATTATTATTACTATTATTATTACTCTTTTAAATCGTGCGTATAAAATACACTTATTCCAAGAAAAACGAACATTACAAACTGCAAGACTTAACCCTTTGCACTGAAATACCGACTCGAAATTGCTGTACCATTTCCAAATGACTGAAATGAAAATGAAATTTTATTAAAGTGCAACAATTCTTATAAATTTGCTGCATGAAACGTAAATACTGCAGGTCGGTAAAAATGTCTTGGCGCGTTCAAATTCTTTCGAGTACAAAACATGGACACTCAATATGCATACAGTGATTAAATATGTTGATTAAATATAGTTTAAATAAAAGTATAGATTAAATAAAGTTGATTAAATATAACTTTAAATAACTTAAATATATAATTTAACACAATGATTTAATTTTCGAAAAAAAACTAACATCGTACAGTTTCTTTCGCAAATGATATGCTAAACGATGCGAGAGCCCAGCGGCCGCGACGAACGGCCGCCATGTTGGTCCGCGATTAATTGTTCGATGAAATTGTTCATCTAGAAAGTTACGAGATCGTTTCTGAATATTCATGGGACGTTCGAAAGACAGATCGCTGCATGTAGAACGTTCAATCCACAAAAGCGGGAGTCTACGTGTGCTTCCCGGTTCAATTAAGCCTTCAACGAAGCTTTGTAACCCGCGAACAGTTCGCACAACCTAATAATACGTATTAATGCTAATTAACAGCGAATTAGACGTCGGAGTAACTGCATCGCCTTGGTTCCCAGACGATGCACAGCGACGCGTTCATTTGCTGGCGGTCTCGTTAGCCGGGCTAACTCGTCAACGATACGTCTCGCGAGCGGCCATTTGGATTCCTTTTTCTGCAAATTGAGGAATCAATTTATCGCTTTGATGCTTCGTTTTTGAGGAATATAGGCAGATTAAAAAAGTAAAAATCTCTTTCCAGCCACCGCGTTATCGTTCGTAATGACCAGACTGCGGATCCTTACGCATTTATGGCAACACCGAGTAGCTTCAATTTCAGATAGCAGAGAGATCAAAGGAATTACAAAATCACATTATTGTATTAGGTCCTGTCTTTTGTATTATGTATTGTATTATTGTATTATTATATTATTATAATATTCTATCGTTAATTGTATTATTCCTTATGTCCATATAAGGGATTACAAAATATTATTGTATTATTGTCAGTTCGATAAAATGATTGAAAAAAGGAAACGCTTTCAGTTTAGTTCTCTAGTTTCTTGCAATTGGCGTATCAAAGGGCCGATTAAGACGGCCAGAATCGCACTTAGAGATATTTTAATGAATATTATATTAATTATTATTATGAATATTATATTATCTTAATATTATATTATAATTATATTATAATTATATTATAATATAATATTATATTATGAATATTATATTAATATTATATTAGATTTAGTAAATTAGATTTGGACGCTTTTCCTGCCATCTCCGCCCTTCGGTAACTTTCTTAAAATTTCGAACAAAAAAATGTCTCTTATTTCGGACATCGAGTCGCATCTTATAATAGAATTTTGTCAGATTTTTCGGTTTGCAAGCTGCAGTTGTCAAAAATGGAAAACCGAAACAAATCGAAAAATTGAAGATATCTCGAAAACAAAAACACTATGTCACCCTGAAATTAATTCCCTGATAAGCAGTGCGTTGCCAGTGCATCGCGCAAAGCAGCTTACGACTTCGTTAACGAAGCTCGCGACGACTGCTCGTTCGCGAACGAGCGCGGAAACAATGCGGGAAAGCGATTTCCACGGACGATTCCGTGCTCGCGGATATCGTTCGACATCCGCGCGATATACTGTTTGCTAATTAACGAGCGTTCTAACGGACTCGTTAATAACGTTTGCGTTCGCATAAGATAATAATGGGTGATCGGCGTGGCGCGGCCGCGAGAACAGCCTTGCCATTGAAAACAAAATCGCTCGCGGTGCACCATCGCGTCTCTGTATCCGATCCGTGGGAAAACGGGTTTTCCGTCGCGTAATCGGGAATTATACAACGAGAGGAATAGGACGCGGATCGAATATGAACGCGAGGAGCACGAGGAGCCGACGCGAGGCGACGCTATGCTCGCGATCGGAACCAGGTAAATGGCGCTCGTCAGGTACCGGGTGATAGTTCGGTGACCGCGATTTCTTGCCGAGTTCACCGGCAGAATAATAAAGGTCGTTGATTACGTTGCTACGCGTCGCGATGCAACGCGACGCAACCGCGGCGCAACGAGGAGCGCCGCGATGCAATCCGTAACGCCGCGATAATTGCGGCTGATTTGAAATGGTAAGATCGCTCCGCGGATATGGCGAGGATGAATTGCTCTGGGTCATTGGGTTGCGACGTCTACCCGACGTCTCGATCACAATGACAACCGCAATGACAGTAATAACGCGTTTATTGGGCTGCGGAAAAGAAATTTCAGCCTGACCTGGAAACGCGGGAAAAATTGCTCTCGGGCTTATACGGTCGTAAAACGACGGATTTTATGCGTTTGTGGAAAAATTCAGTGCTCGGGATTAGTAGAAAGATTGGAGGAATCTTAACGCGTTCGGCGCCGCGTGAGTCACGTATGGGTGAGACTAAATTTTTAACTAGGTTTTTGAAATTCGTTTTCATTGTAGTGTATTGAACGAATCGAATGTTACTAGGATTTGTGGAACACCAAATAGCTGAACCAATATTTTCTATGAGATATTTTCACTTTCTAGTTTCGGTTAAATTAATTAAATCTTGATTAAATGTATTTAATTCGTATTTTTCTCAAATTATTTTTATAATCTTCGTAGGAGATGTTGAACGATTAATTAAGGAATGTTTGATTTCTCGAAGACGGTCTGGACGTATTTTTTGCACTATTTCTATCGATCTTCTGTGTACATCTATTTTTTTACCAAATAGTTTTTATAATCTTTATAGGAGAAGTTGAACAATTAATTAAGGAAAGCCTGGTAGAACTCAGGAAATGATTGAAAATGAAAATTTGATAAGGTGTCTTTTGACCTGTTTGATAAAAATAGCGTTGAGAATATCGACACGTTATTCTGAACTTGTTAAGATTGTTACAAGCAAAAACAATTATCAGGAATTGTAAAAGAAATATCAGCAATTGCAAAACAAATATCAGCAATTGTAAAAAAGATATCAGGAATTATAAAACAAATATCAGGAAACAAAAGATCAAAAACCAGTGATTTTCACTTATTTGACAGTTCCCTAAATGTTATATTCGTCGTTTGAGCTATCGATTGAATATAAAAAGAACAAAGTACAAAATGAAGTAAGGAATTCCAGCTGAAGAAATTCCATTTTGAATTGCAGATGCGACTCGGTCGAGACAGCCGAGCTGCTGGGCGGCCAGCTGAAAGCGTTGGCGTCGCACTCCGACAACCTCGCGAGAGTGACGTCGCTGGAGGGCAGAGTTCGCAGCAATTTGGGCAGCGACGGCAGGAGCACGAGAGAATCGGAGTCGTCGGAAGGTAGCGGAGAACTGAGACACGATCCTGTGCAGACCACCACGATCTACGAGTCGCTGGCAGCCGAGCTGCGCGCGAAATTAGGTGAATACCAAGTTCGACCTTTTTCTATCGACCTCTTTCGCAGTTCAAGTTGGCAGCCGAGTTCGGCATTATTCGAATAACTGTTTATCTGGATGATCAATCGAATGAATAAATAAGTGAATAATTTTCTATCCGCGGGTAATTTTATTCGTGAATAAATTACTACTGTTTTATTCGTGAATAAATTATTTGCTAATAGTTCATTCGCGGATGATTTATCTGCGAATAGTTCATTGGTGAATAATTTATCTGCGAAATGTTCATTCGTGAATAATTTATCTGCGAATTGTTCATTCGCGAATAATTTATTTGCGAATAATTCATTAGCGAATAAAATGTTATTTGTCTTTCTCTCTTGGTCTTCCTTCTACTATTATTCGCTATACTACTGCTATAAATTATAGTCTGCTGTAACCTAAGATACCATAAGTTCCTCTGGAATAAGTTTTTTATAACGTTACAAATACGAGAATAATTAAGTGTGACAGAGTCATGTGAGACACCCTGTGCATTATCAGTACGGATAGTAACATTGTTGAAAAGAATGAATAAATGCAGTTATGAATAACAATTCCATAATATTCGTTAATAACGACTAAAAATTGCATTCTCATTTGAGTAAACTCTTTTCGAATAGTTCTAATAATTCGTCATTCGAAAATAATGACTTAAAAATGTACTCTCATCAATTACCATTAGAATACAAATTTTTATACAAAGTAGAAATGTTGTGCATCCGTTGCAGGAAACAGAAAACTGCATAAACATTTATTTCGGTTTCGAGAAATTTGAATTAGTTGCAAATGATATAATCAAATTATTTGTGGCATATTTATCATAAGCGAACAAAATCCGCGGTGTAATTATCGCGAATAATAGTTCACAATATTCGTTGATAATGGCTAAAAATAGTATTCTTATTCGTCGTTCCTCGATCGAATAAATTTTGCCTAACTTCGGTTAGTATAACAGCAGCAACGGTGCTCGGAATGTGCTGCAGAAGTGGGGACTGGGTTGTCCGACGACGCTGTCATTGGAAATTTCCGTTGGAATCCATTGGCATCGTCGAGTCCCATTTACGAGATCTCCGCTAATCTGCAGCACATTCCGGACCAGCACTGGTTGGCAGAAGCTTATGGCGAACCCTCTGATTCATTGGCCCAGGTAGGGGCAATTCGGGCGACAACGACGTGGGACCGATCCTGCTGCCACCGCGGGATTACGACACGGTTCACAGACACCGCGGTAATCTCGCCGGTATCGAGTTCAGACGTTGCCTAAATCAGACGATCGTGGGTGGAAGCACCACGGTCGACAGAGGCGGTACGAGGAGCGCAGCCAGCAGCGGAATCGGCTCCGACAGTGCTGCGACGCCCCCGCCTTATCAGAGCCATCATCCCTTGGGACCGAGACCGTCCAGACCATCCAGAGACTCCTCCTCGGGTGAGTGGACATTATGTCTTTTTCCTTTCTCGATTGATCCTTCAGGATCTACAGACAAATTTCGTGGTAGGACTTATGGCAAAAGATTTTATAAATAATTGTTTCAAATTGTTATACAGAGATTCTTTAGGTCATTTGAAGTAACTTTTTCCTTAGCGAAAATGCAATCCGAGGCTTCGTTTGCGAGTTATTAGCGAAAAACGCTGGCCAATCGGAGCGCGAGTGCGGCCGACGCTCTGCCCTTGCAGCCAATACCGCGTTGCGCCGGCCGTCTGACGCAGCAGCAGTGGTCGCGAGGGCGGGGCGTCAGCGATCTCTCATTCGTCACTGTTTTTCGTTAATAACTCGTAAACGAAGCCGCGGATTGCATTTTCGCAAAGGAAAAAGTTACTTCAAATGACCTCAGGAACCTCCTGTTTCCGGATTGCGGGACATTTTTGGGAGATCCTGTACACGTAGAGCAGAATTGGGAAAACAGTAAACTCAGTTTTCTGTTTAGCTTAATTTTCATAGAAAAGCAGTTTAATTTATGATTGCCGATTAGAACTGGATAGTTAGTATTTGCCAGTTTATAATAATTTATAATTTCACGCTTTTATATAGATTGTATATAAATTGTGCACAACGTATAATTTTATAATTTTCAATTTCTATCGAAGATCTATCATGGCTTGCAATATCTATTGAGAATCTTGTAAGACTTTATTTCCTATTTAGTTTGATTGTCTTAAGAAAATTGTTCAATTAACGACCAACGCTTGGAACTAGTTTATAGTAATTTATGATAGCTAGCCGTAATCGTTGATCATTAATCAAACTAGTTTTCTAAGAAAATAAAGCGAAATGGAAAAGTAGAATTTATTGTATCTTCGATAGAAATGTAATTAGAAATTATAAGTTATAACAGATATGTAATGAGAAATTTTATTAAACTGTAATAGACATTTAATAAAAATTTAGATTTATTGATCTTAAATAGCGAAATCAATCATAATTGATTTTTAATCGAAGATTATGTTTCATTAAAGTTCTAATAAAAATTCTTTCTTAAGCAGTTGAATTAGAAATTTTGAACTATAGTTTATAGTTTGTTATAACAGACTAAATAAAAATTGATACTGATTGATTTCAAATGGGAGTTTCAATTTTAATATATAATTATCACGAATATTTGTTATTAAATTATAACATTTAAATTAGATTAGATAGAAAATAGATTTTTAATAGAAAATTGGGTTTTATTATCATCTCTGACAAAAATCCTTTATTAATAAAAATCCTCAGAATTATAATCGTCGATCATTAACAACCACATTTAGCAAACACAAATCTGCGATGATTCTTCACCCGATAACGTCATAACGAGGCTTCTTCGAGACTTCTTCGGTTCCCCATAACTGTTCCAAGAACCGTAACAAATGCAACCGTTTCCAACCCCTGTCGATGGGAAAGCGTCTAGCAGCAAGCCCCGCGTTCCCGTATTAATATCGTTGACATCGCGAATAACTTTGCATCTATCGAGCTGTTCGCTGGTTCCTCGTACACAGGACTTCAGATCCAGCTTTCCGATTCGCTCGGCGGGTGCAGCATGCTAGAGACGATATCGGCGATAGGCAACATCTCTCACGCTGGCACAGAGCCGACAGCTCGACGTAGGCTTCATAATGTTGTCGCAACGATCGTTACGAGTCACGGAACGATCGCACGCGTAAACATTGATCCCCGTTTGATATTTCTCGACGAATTCGCTTACGCGGCTCGCACGGCTCGCCGTGGATCTTTCGGCAATGATGTCACGTTCGCCGGGAGTACCGTCGAAAGAATCTCGAGGAGACGAAATCCACGGCGAATTGCGACATCTCCGCGGGCGTTTTACAGTTCTCGTCGATTCGCACGTGTGAAATTGATTGCGGACGAAGCACAGAGCCCGGCGCGGCGTGACTGCGAATGCGAATGCGAATGCCGGCGCATGGCGTGACGTTGCCTCGACGCCTCGAATCGGCACGCCACCGGGCATTGTTGTCGCTGCCGTGCAAAGTGTTATGTCAACCGAGGCGCGAGCATTCCTCGCACCATGACGGCACCGCTAATTACATATCGCCGTAATAAATTGCCGTTTCTCCGCCGAACTTATCAATCTTGCCGCGCCGCTTTATTCACAGACGCGTCCGATCGATATCCAACTTTCCCACCAAATCTCTTTTTACCGTTTTAATTTCACTCGCCGGATTGTCGTTGTAGATTAAACACGGCGTCAAATAAACATCAATTTCAATTTTGCTGTACTTATAAATCTTTCTGTTTATATCGTTTATTTTTCGAGAAATTAGGGATTCTTCATGTCATTTGAAGTAACTTTTTCCTTAGCGGAAATGCAATCCGCGGCTTCGTTCACGAGTTATCAACGAAAAACACTGGCCAATGAGAGGCGAGCTCGCCTGGCGCTAGGCGGCCGAGCCAATCAGCGGAACGGGGCGTCGACCGCCCAGCGCCGGTCGAGCTGGCCTCTCATTGGTCACTGTTTTTCGTCGATAACTCGCAAACGAAGCCGCGGATCGCATTTTCGCAGAGGAAAAAGTTGCTTCAAATGATCTCAGGAACCTCCTGTTTCCAGATTGCGATATATTATTGGGACACCTTGTACACATAGAGCAGAATTGGGCAAAACTTAATTTTCTATTTAGTTCAATTTTCGCAGAAAAGCAGTTTCATTTACGAATGCCGATTGCCGATTGGAAAGGGTTCCCTCATTTCCCGGAAGTACCACATTTTTGGGACACCCTGTACACAGTGATCCAATTCGAAAATGCGTAGCGTAAATGTAGCAAGTTCATGCTTGATTGTCGAACTATTACTGGGAGATATGACCGTCAGAAAAATGGGGGGGGGGGTAGTTCGCGCGGAGTTTTACATTTGTAGCTCTTGTCAGGTGTTTCGAGGGATCGCGACGATGCTGGCCAGGATGCAGGAAGTATCTCTGGTTAGCGGCGGTCATTTATTCGAGTCGGAGCTCGCCGCCGGTTCGCTCAGTCATTTCTTCGACAATTTGTCACGCACTTTTCCGCCATTACGCGGCCCGTGAATAATTGCAGGCATCGCGGACGCGTCGCGGGGCCCGCGTGTTACCACCGCTTGATAAATACCCGAGCGAATGGACCCGTCGCGAACCCGTCGCGGAAACGCACGCTCCTCCACGCTCCATCTGTTCCGCCTCGGAGAATTTATATCGACGCGCCGCGGCACGTTTCCTACGCGGCCACCAGGAAAAGAACAGACCAACCCGTGGACTTTCACTCTCGCGCAGCATCTGCCGGTGCAATCGCTTAGACGCCGTAATCGTGCGTTCACCCGGGTCGCCTAATTTTCCTGGGGGAAACGCGACGCGGTCCACTTTCCGCGCAGCGGTTCGACGACGCAAAAACGTTCGCGGGGTACAGGCGACACCGATTTTGTTCGGAGCCATGGATCGAGCCGACAGAGGACGGTCTTCGAGGAAATCGCGACTTTTCTTGGTTTTTCTGTTTTATCTAGACTTCGCGATTTTTTTTTAATACTTCGAATTATGAAAATCGATTCAGCGCAGTTTTTTTATTTAAGTGTGTCACGGTTATGTTGGCATCAAAATTTATTCTGTTTGTGTTATTGATGAAAAGTATATCGTAATTGCTGTGCTCAAAATGTGTGTAATAATTGGACTATTAAAACAGAGTGTCATAATTGCACTATTAGAAAAATGTATCATAATTGCACTATTAGAAAAATTATGAGAATTGCACTATTAGAAAAGCGTATCGCAATTGTGCTATTAAAACAGTGTAGCATAATTGCGCAGTTAAAACAGTGTTTCATAATTGCGCTGTTAAAACAGTGTTTCATAATTGCGCTGTTAAAACAGTGTTTCATAATTGCGCTATTAAAACAGTGTATCGTAATTGCACTGTTAAAACAGTGTATCATAAATGCAATCTTAATATTTTTAACAGCTGCGTCACCCAATGTGAGCCACAGAATTATTTAATATTTAATTTTGAAAGATTAATTTGTACGCTAATCTATTATAATTTCTTAATTCTGTGAAGATTCGCAAGAAGTCAAAAATAGTAATTTATGTCGTATAATTTTCCTGGGCAGTTTTAATTTAATTTAACCAAATGATAATCTCCAGAAATAATAGCAACAATTTCAAGAGAATTGAACATTTTTTTCTGCTTCAGTGTAACCAAAAAATCGTCGGTTTAAAAAATTCACCATTTTGTTCGCTCTTTCAATATTATTGCAATATTTCAATTATAATATAACTGCTCAATGTGTGTGTGTTAAAAAATCTCCGCACCACATTCTCTTTGTTTTTTTTTCCTCAGTCTGCAACATTTTTGCTTCAACGTAACCAAAAAATCGTCGGTTTACCTCATTTCTGTGATTCGTCCGTTTCTTCGATTTCTTCAGTTGTTCGATTTTGACGCAACTTCGTCACCTTGTCCCACCGGTCGCCGCTCACGGAAGTCCGGCAGCGAGGCCGATGACAAAAATTTGGACGCTTTCTACGTCGCGTACAGGTGGCCGCGTGCTCTGCCACGAATCTTATCGGTGCTCGTAGAAAACCGGGCGGAAGGCGACCCGGTAACCCAGTTCCGTCGCCGGCTAAACGAAAAATCGTTTCTTCGTCGGTGCAGCCGCGCGGAGACTCTTACGATTTTTCATTCGTCGTGCCGCGTGCCGAGAATGCTCGACCGATCTAATAACAAATTCGTGCGTCCACTTTCACTAGTGGACGCGGAACCCGGGTGTCGTCCGAATCGCGCGCCCCGGAATCGTTGATCGGCTCACCCCTGCCGGAGAAAGTCGCGTTTTTCGGAAACCAAAAGGAGCGCGTCTGAATCGCGATTAGGCGACCGTGTTCTATCTCCCGTTTCACCGAGTTGCGCAACCATCGAATTCCAACGCGACGTTTCGAAAGTAGCGTTTACGTTGTTTTAATTGGGGGTGGTAATTTATGATGA